TTTTTTTTTTTTTTTTTTTTTTTTTTTATTAAATAAATTCTACTTTTTTTCTATTATTATTCCTATATTCATTAAATAATACGTATTTATCTATAATAAAAATGTAAAATTAATAGATATAATATTTTTACTAATATAAATATTATCTTTATATTTTTTATTATCTTAAATATACTATTAAATTCCATATATTTGAATGAATAAATGTAGCACTGATTATTTTGTAATAATGATAACCATTTGAAATATAAAATTTATTTATTCCAATATTTTTTAATATATCTCTATAAATTTGAATATTAAATTAAGAAAATATATATATATATATATATATATATATGATAACATATTAATAATGTGTCTTTCGTAATTGCTTCTATTTTTTTCTTTTTGAAATTTTTTTTTTGTTCATTTACTCATTGATATATAATGGTTTCTGTGAGTTAAAAAAATATACATCCAAACATAAAAAAATTAAAATTAAAAATAATGAGAAAAAAAAGGTAATACTAAAAATATCAAAAGTTGGAAATAAAATTTGAATAAATTTAATATCTCTCTTAAATGTGTTATTAAAACTTTGTGTATATTTTTGAATTAATAAATTAGAATCATATGGATGTTCATAATTTAAATGATTACTAGAATTAGAATGGAAATTCATTTTTAATTATATAAAGTTGAAGAGTTAGTTGTTTATAAAAATAATATATAAATAATTTAGTTTTTATAAATAATTAAAAAAATTATTTCATTAAAACTAGTACGCAAAATTTACTTAACAAAAATTATAATTTTGTGAAATTTTTTTTTTTTTTTTTTTTTTCTATTTAAAAGAAATATAAATTTATATATATATATATATATATATATATATATATATATTTATTGTAAATTAATAATTTTTTAACTTTAGAAAAATTCAATAAATATTTATATTTACAGATATATATTTATATATATAATAAAAAATATATGAAAAATATATATTTTTGTTAGTAAAATATAATTTTTAAAACTTAGTGTGCAAAAAAACTATTTTTTTTTTTTTTTTTTTATTAAGTGAAAATAAAAATACACTTTATGAATTTCATAGATTATTATTTTAATATGAATTTAACTATGTAATATTTCATATCTTATATCAAATATAATATTTAAATTCTATATTATTTTTCATTTTTAATTTAAAAAAAAAATAATAAAAAGCAAAAATTTAAAAATGATATCTTTATATAAATAATGAATAGTATATTATTTTTAATATAATTTTATAAAGGCTTTTAAAATGTTTTAAATGTGCATATTAGATATTCACATAATATATATATATTAATTTATGAATTTAACTATATAAATATACAAGAAACATTTTTTTATTTTAAATAAATATAAATAAAATAACATAAGTTTTTATTTATTCTTATTATTAAATAGAAAAAAAAAAAAAAGAAAAAAAAAGTTAATATAATTTAAATTTGATTAGTTAAAATATGTTATAGTATCTTCGTTTTCTTGAAAATTATATTTATTAAAAGTATTTAGAAAGAGTAAAAAATATGTGTGATGGAAAAATATCAAAATCTAGCTTATTACTTTTAATTAATGAAATAATTAAGACAAATATAGAACTACTGAAAAATAATGAGATTGAATTGAGCAGTTTAAGTAGTAATGATGTAGAAGATATAAATGAAAAAAGACTAACATATGAAGAAGAAGAACAAGAACAAGAAGAACAAGAACAACAACAAGATCAAGAAAAAGAAAAAGAAAAAAAAAAAAAATATATATACAATAATATGTATGAAGGAAATGATAAAATAAATAATGTTAAATATTTAGAAAATGACGAAAAAAATTACATAAATATTCTATCTAGTAAACTGAAAGATATGGGGAAGAATATTGGTATGAAATTAGTAGAGAGAATGTTAATTCATAAAAATGAATTTAATGATATTAAAGATATCCTGAAATTTATTGGAAAAGATATATGGTATATTTTATTTAATAAAAATGCAGATAAATTGCAAACTTATAAAAAAGGAGTTTATGTCGTTACTGATAATGATATAAGTATATATTTAAAGTATTTATTAATTGATAATGGTACAAATAAAAAAAATAATTTTATTCATTATTTTTTAATGATAATTATTGGGATTATTAAAGGAATACTTAAAAGATTTAAAATAAAAGGATATGTAACATACGACCTAAATTATCCTCATTGTATGCATTTCTAATAAGAAAATTATAAAAATTTTTAAAAAAATAAAATTATATAAATAAAATAAATAGTTAATAAAATATATATTCATATAAATTTATTATTATTTATTTTTTTTTTTTTTTTTTATATAGGTTCTTTTCAAATAAATATCATTGATGATTAAATATAATTAAATAAAATTTGTCTAATTTTGATAATGAATAGGAAATTAAAAATGCTTTTTAAATAATATAGAATCAATAAATAATATATGATAAAATAATAATAAAAAAAAAAAAAAAAGAATTAATTAAAAAAAAAAAAAAATAATAAAAATAAAAATATATATAAACTTTTTAAATAAGAAGTATTACTAGTATTTTACAAAAACTAAAAAAAAATTTCGTAATTAAAAAGGTTTGACTTATTTCAAATTAAAAAAAAAGAAAACTTAAATAAATTCATATATATATATATATATATATATATATATATATATATATATATATATATATATATATATATATATATATATATATTTGTTTAGATATTTTTTTTTAATTAAATTTTTTTTTTTAAACTTTTTTTTTTTTTAACTAAATACTTTTTTTGATTATTATTTTGTTAGTTTTTTCATCAAAATATTCACGTTTACTTAATCCGTGGCATTTTTTTTCAAACAAATATTTATCTTCATTTAATTGAAAATATTTATTTTTCGTTTCTTTTATTTTTGGTAACTCAAGTAATGAATTCTTTAATAAATTAATTTTTTTTTCATTTAATAAAATATCATCATCACAATCAATATATATTTGTTGTTTTTTTATTAATGGTTCTTGATAATTTACTTTGTTAATTTTACTTTTATGAAATTTTTTTACTATATTTTCAGTTTTTACACATGAAGGAAATACATAAAAATCTTTGTTTTTAATGGAATACTTATTGGGAGAATATTTTTTGTCATCAATTTCAACTCTATTATTAATATTTCTTATATAGTTCTTTTGATTTTCATTGAATGATATTAAATTTTTAATTTCACTTTTTTTTTGTTCTTTCGATTTATTTACATAATTAAAATCTAATGAACATTTATTCTTTAAAAAATTTTTAATAAAATTAACCTTTTTATCTAAACTATCTAAAGATAAATAACAGCTTTTATTAAAGTAATAATATTTTATATTTAATAATTCCATATGTCTTTTTTTTAATTCTATAAATCCATTTAAATTATTATTGTTTTTAAGAAATTTCATTGATGATATTATGTCAATATATATATTGTGATTATTTTTAATAAATATATCAAAAACATATGGCTCCTTTTTTTTTAATATTTCAAAATTTTCTATATTCAAATAATTTAGTATATTAATAATTTCATCATGTATATCACTAAAATTTTTATTTTGAATATAGTCAATATTTTTTGATATTACTGTTTTAATTGATAAAGGAAACCTTTTTATAAAATCTGGTTTTTCTAAAACTAAACTAAAGCATATTTTATTTAATATATTTTTTTTTTTTTGATTATTATTATTATTATCCAATTTTATAAGTTGATTAAAAAACATATAAAAAAATTCATAATCATATATATTATTTATTACCATTCCTTCAGCAAAGATTACTAATTGTTTTAAAGTAAAACTATATAATAATTCTTTAGCTTTATTTAAACATATATTATAAAACCTTTCATTTTTATAATTAATTTTTGATAAATTATGAACAATTAAACCTAAATTTATTGCAGATATATTATCAATTCTTTGAATTATTAAATCACATAACTTGTTACATAATATATCATCTCTTATTTTTAACTTACCTAAAGTATATATAATGTTAGTTATATTTATATCATTCAAAGATTCGGTATTTCTGAAAATAAAAAAATAAAAAAATAAAAAAATTAAAACATATATATATATATATATATATATATATATATATATATATTTACAAATATAAAATCATAATATATATTAATAAAGAGAATTATTACATTATTAATAAAAGAAATATTAATATATAATATATAAAAATAAATAAGAATAAAATATTAAATTTATAAAATTTTTTTTTTTTTTTTATTTTTTTCTTATGTTTACATTTGAAATAGATTTATACAACTTCTTATAAAATCCTCATTATAATATTGATTTTTAGAAAGTGTGTAAAAAGATAAAGATAATGATAAAATGTTAAATTTTTTTATATTTTCCTTAAAAATATTCGTTAAATATTTGTATATAAATTTATAATAAGTAATACTAAATTTAATATTACTTAAAATATACAAATATAAAGATATATATTTAACTTCAATATTTTTAATATTTTTCTTTATTTTATAATGAAGCTTATAAAAAATTTGAATAGGTATTAAATTCATTTTAAAATAATAATATAAAATTAATATTAAAATATTTGGATTTTCAAAAAATGTTTTTTTTTTATTTATTATATATATAATTGTTCTTAATATTTTCATATAAGTATTTTTATATTCATCATGTTTATTTTTATTATTTTTTAAATCTGTTATTTTATTAATTACTAATTTGTTTTTATTATTTGATTCTAAATTTAATAGTTTCTTATCTTCATCATTATCTAAGTTATTTTCATTATTATTATTATTATTATTCTCTAAATCATTATTATTTTTTTCCTTTAACTTATTTAATTCAATATCTTTATAATAAGATATATCTGATTTCTTTATTTTTACACTTGTTCTATTTAAGAAGTATAAAAGGGATAACATATCATAATAATTAATATTACAAATATTTAACAAAATATATTTACATATATATAGCAAATATGAATTAGAAATAGTAAATAAAGAAGAATATGAATATAAAATGTAGCATAAAGCGCTATTGTTTAAATTATTAGTATAAACATTTAACATATTAATTTTTTTTTTGTTCTTTTTTTTTTTGTTAAGTAATTCAATAGTATATTTGTAATCTTCTTTTTCATTTTCATTTTTTAATAGTTTATTTAATTTATTACTTTTAGAGACTTTTATATGATTACACACTACTTGTAAAATATTTTTAAAATATGTATATTTATTTAAATTTATATTTTTGTAACTTATGCATACAGATAACAATAGTGATGGTGATGCATTTCCTATATTATCATTAATATGTTTAAATAAATTATTAATAATTTCTATTTTTTTTAAAACATTAAATGAAATTTTAGATTTACTTAAATTTTGTAATTCATAAATAAAAACACTAATTTTTACATTTTCTTTTATTTTTTCATATTCATTCAATTTTTTAAGAGACAAAATTAATATTTGTTCACTTTCTTTATATATATAAGTTTTAGTATATAATGAGAATACTTTATTACTATTTAATTTATTTGTTATTACTAAATTGTCATTAAAAAGGTTTATATTATTATCTACATTATCTTTATTTGAAAATATCTTTTCATTTGTGTGTTCTGATATGTTTTGATGGGAATTATTACATCTTTTATATATAAATTGAAAATTATTAAAATGTTTTTTGGTTATTAATTTTCTTAAAAAGGAATAATACTTTTGAGAATAAAAGTTCCTCTTATTAATAAAATAATTACTATTATTTGAATTAACAGTTAACCTATATATAAGCATCTTTTTTTTTTTTTTTTTTTTAAATATCAAATTAAAAATATAGGAATATTCCCATAAATTAAATATTTATTTCCAATATTTCACAAAAAAAAAATATATATCAAGCTCATTGTTGAAATAATGAATTATTAAAAATCAAAAAAATACTATTAAAATATTATCAAAATAATACTATTAAAATATTAAAATGAAAATGTAAAAAATTAAAAAAAAGTAAAATTTATAATATTTTTATATTTAAAAAAAAAAAAAAAAAACAAAATGAAAAAAAAAATATACAATTTAAAATTTCTTTATTTATGAATTAAAAAATTTATTTTTAAATGTATTTATATATGTAAAATAAAACATATCAAATAAATTTTTTGAGCATAGAAAAAAACAAATATTAAGAATATAAACATTAAAACGAATAAAGCAACTCAATATTCACAAAAATTATTAATAATATAAATTAATCTTATATTTTTTATTCTTGTATTTAAAAATATTTTCTTTTTTTTTGGTAAAAAAAAACATACCTTATATTAGTAAATCTAATAAAATTCTAAACATAATTAGATTTATATACATAAATGTATAAAAGAAATATTTCAAATACAAAAGAAAGAATATTGTTAAAAAAAAAAATATTAAAACAAAATAGAATATAAAAAAAAAAAAAAAAAAAAAATATAATTTTTTTAAATTGTCTAACATATCAATGTAAAATTTTTTAATACATTTTAGATTTGTTTTTTATTAACATAAAGGAAAATTTTTATAATGTTAAAATTTAGAAGATAGTCAAAATGACTAACATAGAAGGGGGGATATCACAAAATAAATGTTTAAATATTTTTTTTCCAATAAACATGGAAAATTCAGATAAAAAATTAAATTATTTATATGGTTTATCTAATGAAAATACATATATTGTTATCCATATTTCCTATAAATATGTAATAAAAAATGAAAAGAAATAAAAATATATACTCTTTAAAATATTATTAAGATTTTTTATTTGATTATTATTTTGTATTATTATGAATATATTTATAGTTTAAGCATTTTTAAATTAACCAAAATTGTTGTAAATATTAATATAAAACAATTTTTTTTTTTTTTTTTTTTTATCTAATTAAAATACATTATTCAAAATTTTATTCAAGTTTTAAAATAATATATTTTTATCTTATACCAACTATAAATAAATTTTTTATTCTCATCTAATGATTTTTTTTTTTTTTTTTTTTGATAATTCTATTTATTTTATAATAGTTTATTAATAGTAATTTACATTTTTTTTATGTTATTTTATTTATTTTTTTTTTTTTTTTTTTTTTTTTAGATAGATAAATTTAAAATAAAAAAGAACAATGAAAACGAAGATGATTGGAAGAATATTAGAATTATTGGAGAAATAGTTTTAGCAAAAAACTTAGAAGAATTACAGAATATCAAGTTTGTAAAATCTAATAATAATAATATCAATAATTATATATATCTTACCTATTATAAAAATAGACCAATATTTATGAGAAAAAACGGAAATGAAGAAAATATAAATGCTTTATTTATTTTATATAATTCAAGAAAATATATCTATAATCTTTCATATGATCATGTGAATAATTTGGTTTCTAAAACTTTTAGTAGAAAAGATATATTTATAAAAGAAAAGAAAAAAAAACATATAGATATGGAAAATCAATATAAAATGAATCTTGATATAAATAATGAAAAAAATAACGAAGTAAATGAAAAAAATGAAGAAAATCATAAAAAGGAAAATTGTAAAAATATATTAGAAGAAAAAATATCAAATTATTATAAGGATTCAAAAAAGGAAGGAAAATGTTCTGATAAAATAAATTTATGTTATAACAGGGAATATAATTTAAAAGAAAAAGAATTAATTTGTTTTAATTTTGTTGAAAATAAAATAATTCCATCTCTAAAATTTGAAGAGATAATTACATTAATTAATAAAAAATGTCTATATTCAAGCGGTATAGAAAATTATAATATTGCTAGTAATTCAAAAGGAAGAAATTTTTATATATTAAAAAAAAAAAAATATATAGTTTCACTTATAGTTTACACATTTGTATTTTTTATATATTTCATATCTCTGTTAAATAGATCTTTGTATTATATAATTAATAAACCTAATTTTTTAAGTAAATTCATTTATTCAAAAAAAAAAATAAATATTTTGCATTTAATAAAAGAAAAGTTATTAATTCACTCAGAATGGTATTATATAATTAATAAATTAATTAAAAATAAAAAAAATCCTTTAGAATATCAAAAATATAAGCACATATTATTAATTAGATTATTTAATTTAATAACAGATATGGTTTTAGGAGTATTTATATATTTTTTATTGTCATTTAATATAATTAATTTTTATTTTTTTTGTGATAAATTAAGAATTTTTTATGATTCTAGAACTTTAACGTAATATTTTCATATATTCTATTATATACATATATTGAATTAATATATATAATAATTTTTTTATTTTTAATAGATCTATATTAGGAACATTATTACAAAATCCTTTAGGTTTAAAATTAAATAACAATTTTACTTCTTTTGTTGGTAGTGTTATTGTTTCTATTTTAGATAAATGGTAAATATATTTATATGAAAAAAATAAATTATTTATTATATTTTGTTTCAATAATATATATATATTAATTATTTACAATTTAATAGGGATTATTTAAGAGTTATAATTTCAATAAAAAAATATTATGTTTTAGAATTTTTTAGATATTCTTCTTTATTAGGCTTATCTTTTTTTCTTTCATTTCTCATTGATTACTTAAGATTTATAACTGCACATGTAAATTTATAAAAAAAATAAAAAACTTATTACATAAATTAAAAAAAAAATAAATATATTTTGTTTTAGGTTAGCCTCATTTTTTTTTTTTTAAAAAAAATGTGTACAGCTTTTCACAATAATATATATTCTTTATATTTGCTCTTCAAGTAATTCATAACAAACATATATATATAAGAAAAAAATTATAAAAATACTAAATGTCTAAAATATTTTCTTTTTTTTTTTAATTGTATTTATAATTTTTTTTATATAGTGGTAAAAAGTGGAATATTTTAAAATTAAGAGTAGACACAAATTATTATACAAATGAAGAAGTTATTTTTGGTAAATATTATTAAAAAAAATAAAAATAAACATAAAAATAAACAAATAAATAAACAAATAAATAAACAAATAAATAAACATAAAAATAAACATAAAAATAAACATAAAAATAAACAAATATTTACATTTCAAATAAATGTAATTTATAGGAACAATATTATTTACTATATTAATTTTTTTATATCCAACTGCTTTAGTATTAGTTGTAGTATTTGGAATAATTTATTTTATAATTAACAGTAAATTATTAAAAAACTAAAAAAATAAAAAAAAAAAAATATATATTGAAAAGATTTTTTTTTCTTTTTTTTTTTTTTTTGTTTAGGGATGATATATATTTTGTTTCTTTTAAAAAAAATGATATTATATTCTCCTTTTTATATTTTTTTTGTATCATCTAATTTTAATAAATATATTAGCAAAGGAATAAAATTTACACAACGTAAGAACAAATATTAAAATATAACTTAAAAAAAGATAAACTATTTTTATTTTAATTTATTTTAATTTTTTTTTTTTATTTTTTTTTTGTTAGTTGAAAATGTGGTATATAAAAAGAAAAATTTTAATTGTCTTTTTTTATTTATTTTTTTTTTTTTAAAGCTCTTAATTCATATTTTTTAAAAGACAAAATGAAATTTAATAAACACGTAAAAAAAGATTTTAATTATTTTTAAAATTTTTCTTTTTTTTTTTCTATAGGAATGTGAAGAATTAAAAGATTTTCCTAAAACATATTACTTGCTTCTTGAAAATAATAAATTTTTATTTTGTGATAAAATAAAATTATTTATAAATATTTTCCTCAATTTTGAAAAATAAAAAAAAAATTTGTGTAAATGTTTTTGTCATACCTATTTTTATTTTTATTTTTTTTTTTTTTTTTTTTTTTTAAGATTT